AGCACATATGTTGGGTGGAATACTTCATCTGTGCACCACGAAACCAGGACAGAAAACTCTGTCTTATAAGACTTCATCCATAAGGCTTTATCTTTCAAATTCATCCAAGATTGGATTACAAAGAACATTTATCCTTTATATGTCAATAATGTTGCGAAGAAATTTTCCACTGACTATCAGAGATTCATCAAATTCTGCAAACAAGAAAGAAAAAAAAGTCATAACAAACTGGATGAATTGCATGTAGAAGTAATGAGTTCAACAACGGCATGACTAAACATACGTAAGACTAACATACTAAAGACATGTTGTACCAAAAGAAACTGGAGCAACATTTTGGCGTGACAATGACATAACATAATGAACTATCTAAATTTCTATCAAAATAACTGTTTCGGGTCTTACACTTTAACGTGTCTCGGCACTGCCTAGGATGTGACGCAAGGAGAAGAAACAAGTACATAGAAGGCTTTCATCATCTGAGAAAAAAATACAACAGCTTGAAGTCCACCAAACTGCACAAAAACTAACATACCCTGCATAACCAGAACATGTTGACAGCAGCTTTCCCAATGACTCTGAACCTGAATTCGAGCTTCTCACCATGAATCTGGATGAATCTAATCTGCAGTGACAAGGTAAAAATCAGATCTTCAATTGTCGTCTACCTCAACAGCAGCCTCCTCTGCGCCAGATCATTGTTTATTTCCAAAAATGAAAGTTAAAACTGGTCGTCGCACTGTCGACTAACCGATAATATGAAGTCAAGGTGAGCAGAAATGATCTCATTGGAATCATTGTGACTAAAGTAAATATAGTATTAAGACAGAACTGGTCCACTGCCAGTGAACTAGAAAAATCTGATAATATCTTAGAGTCAGACAGTGACATCTCTGGTCCTGTTGTATTGAAGCGAGGCATACATGCAACAATTTGACTTACATATTTACCAGTGTGTGATGAATTCATATGTATCTTCAAGACGCGACATTTCTGAACTGAGCATGAGCATGGCTGCAGATCTCATACTCGATATAGGTGATTCAGTCATCACAGTAGGTCTGCATAACACAACCATAGCAGCAGGCCATTGTATGTACTATATTAAAACCAATCATATAACTATAATTAATCCAAATAAACAAAGGAGAACAGTCACTATAGGCTACACAGAAAATGCTAGTCATTCTTGATCAGATGGAGCAGTTTTTTTATGACAGATCGAGCTGGAGACAACACAGCCTTACTAGAAAGGTTAGATGTGGACAGTCAGAAAATCATCAAATGTTCCGCACATATGATTTTGGGTGTAGATGCTGTAGACAAAGTATCCAGAAATGTGGAACAAAAAATCAGTGTTCATAAGTTGCTGCATTTTTCAGAAGGCGAAAAAGCATTCAGTTCTCCCAGGACCAGTATTCAGACTCTGAGGCAAATCGCTATTTCTAAGCTTTTGTCTCCAAGCCATGCAGCTTGTTCTGTCTCTCTCTACAACGAGTACAAACAATAACTAAATGCTAAGAATGAGCTTGGGGGGTTCTGTAGATTTATTTCGAACCGATTCAGAAGAACCGAAAGTATTTCCAAACAGTTCATAAAACAGAGAGAAAGTGTTAACAATGTAGTTTTTCAGCAATGTTGTTGACATAAATTCTAATAAGTTAGTGCTGGCAGTATCTACGTACATTCAAAATGATTAATTTCAGTTATCAGTGATAACTGAAACCAATCATTTTGAATGATTGGTTTCAGTTATCCAGAATTTATCTGGAAGAAGTATTAGAAGCGCTCAATAGACTATCTGAAATGAATAGATTATCTTAAATGGATTTCTTCAAAAATCCGGATATCACTTGCAAAAATTGAAACCGGTATCTCTCACCAATCTGTGAATGATTCACACCAAGGTGTGAATCAGAATTCGCAAAATATGACAACTGAGTCAAATATGTGGTGGCTCCACAATCGTTACAACGTTATCCAGAAAAAATGTAGTGACGGCAAATGGTCTACTCAGAGATTAATCCTTTACTGAGTTCGCATGCGGGGACAAGTGAAAGAAATGGAAATGGGCGAGGACATCTAATGAGGTGAAACAGGCTAGAAAACTAGCAACCGCTCAGGCTGCCTAAAGACTATATATTAAGAAAAAGGAAGAACTAAAAAAGAAGAAAAATTCAATAACTTTTAAAGTGATGGAAGATTGTAAAAATCATGTAGGACCTGTGACAATCTGATATTGAAATACCAGACTCATTATCTGAAAGTCAGCTCCTCAGCAAAATATGGTATTTGTGTCTTACTGTAGCTTCTGATATCAGACAAAGAAGACATGTGAAATTGGACAACAGACAAATCAAAATGTAGAAATTCACTCTTGACAAACTGAGAATTTCTATAAAAACTGAGAACTTCTATAAAAAAACATTCTCAAACCTGTGAATGATCTTGTAGACAACATTGATCGATTACTAAAGTGTTTTAACTACTGAATAAATATTCAATGATTCGGTTCATGATGAATATATAAATGAATATGATGAATATGTAAAAACAAACTGTGGCTTATTCATTTCACCTGTGACTTGATTTACAGATCAATCTCTTAACTTTTGGAATGTCTTAAAATTGTAGATTGTAGCATTTTATTTGCATATAAAATAAACCATTGTTAATACATCAATTTTATATTGAAATTCAAATTCCTTGAACCAGAAAACCATAGAAAGGACATATCACAGTTCTAATTTCTAATTTGGATCAAGATGTAGGGGCCTAAGAAAAAATTGTCATTATTTGGCCATTTTGAAAAATGGTCATTATAATGACAATTTCCAAAATCCACTGGTCAATAAAAAAACAACTGTTTATTACTCATTAAAATTAGTTTAGTAAGCCAAAAATTGTTTAACATAATAAATAATATTTAATAAAATATTAAAAAAAATTAAATAAGAAAATCAGATTATGAAATTGCCCAATATTTAAAAAAATATTTGGATAAAGTATAGATATCTTTGAAACCATAAAAAGTTAGACACTAAAACTTGGAGTGAAGTTTTTTTTTACTAAATAAAGCCTTTATACCAAAAATCACAAAATTCTAAGATTGAGTCAAACATAAGTTAAATAGAGTTTGAATGACCCAACCAGTTGACACAGGATAAGCTGTCACTCTGAAAGCATTTATTGCCATTAAACATTAAAAATAGCCTTTTCATCAACTTTACTCAATTGTATCTTTTTTTTTTCTAATTAGTCTGACTCTTTCCATATAAAGTAGTAATCTTTATGGCTTCACTTAAATATTATTCTACAGAAAAAACTTTTGATTTTAGGCAATTAAAAAGAAATGCCTGTGGCACGGGATGATTCATTTTCTTCAAGAGCAACTGAAAAAATGTCAGTACGACCAAAGGTTTATTACTTATAAGAGTGTGTTTATTAATAAAACTATATTTTAATTGAAATAGAAAAGCATCTAGAAAAATAAAGTAAATCTTCAAATAATATTTAAAACTTATTAAGGAACTTAAACAACTTTATAAAAATGTACTGTATAAAACATTATGATTAAACATTACAAATGACTGTATAAACATTATGTTTAACATTATGAAAAACATTACTAATGGTTGGTAAAAACATGCGTTAATTTTAAAATCAACTAATAAAAACTTTTTATTGGTTGACTTTAAAATTAACGCAAGTTTTTACAGACTATTTAGTAGCATTTTTCGTAATGGCAATTTTTTTATAACGAACGTCTTTACAAAGTCGTTTAAGTATTTTTAAAAGTTCCTAAAGTTTTTAATAATATTTGAATACCCACTTTATATTCTCTAGATGCTTATCTACTTTTATTAAAATTTAGAATTACTAATGTTGTTTGAACAAAGAATGAACTTTAAAAGTTGTAAGTGCTTTATAAAAGTAATAACACTATTATAGTTTCATTACTTTTATAATGCAGTAAGTGACTAGAGTATTGTTACTTTTGCAGTCATAAGTTTTTTGTCTTGTTTTTTATAGCTTTTTCCTAAACTAACTTATAGTAATTTTCTCCTTAAAAACAAAGTACACAACTTTGCATAAACTAAAATTTTAAAAATATCATTAGATTCACCTGAGAAAAAATACAAAAAAAAAACTTTTACACTGGACTACTGATTATCATAGCAGACAACTCAAATAAGAAATAAAAACTGTTTCAGACTGGGAAAAAACTAGAGGTTTTTCATGACGGATATTAGTACACCACTGATATTGTATTAAACTGTAATTAGTACACCACTGATATTGCAATAAAACTATAATTTTTTTTCTCTAAAACCAATTTATAAGTAAAAACCCTTTAGTTTGTAAAAATGATTATTCTTGACAACCCAAATAAACTAAAAAAAATAATAATAACTGTTTCAAATATTTTTTACATAGTTCTTGGACTACTGTGGAAAATTTGAACCTAAATGTAATTATGGTTTAAAAGTCATCCATAGCCAATATGCCCCATTAGTTTGTGTTGAAGATATTAAAGCTAATTTTTATTGTCCTCGTGAAAAAAAAGATGACGATGAAACCATTCGACCAGTGATGAAGATGAAGTTATTCAAAAAACTTTGTTTTGGGACTTAATTGTGTTATTTTAATTTATTTTTTTTAGGTTCGGGAGGGGGGACTCAATATGTTAGTAATATTTTTTTACTAACATATTGAGTCTCTTTAGGATTGTTGCTAAGGATTTGAGCTAATTTAAAATACTAGGATTTGAGCTAATTTCAAATCTCATAAAAAAAGCATATATTTAATAAATATACAGCATATTATTTATTACAAAAAAAATATGTAATATATAAATAATAATATAATATATAAAAAAAACATTAAGAGAACTTTTTGAGCTAACTTGATCTTCCTGAACTGACCAAACTAATTAAACAAAACGCAATCAACAATATCAATCACCTGTAAAGTTAACTCTAAATAAGTTAAAATTATACCTAAAATAGCTACAGCTGAAATGCATATTCCGCAAACAACTCCACCAAGAGTAAACCAGAATTTTGCTGAAGGCCCTTGATTTTTTTCTTTTTTCTTGACATAATAATTAGCTAATAGTGGTTTCTTGAAAAGTAAAACCTTATTATCTACCGGCCTTAACTTAGAAAAATTTTTTAATTTACTTAATATATGCATTCTTTTTACTCCCAGTTGGTTACATTTGCAACTAAATTGGGCGATGTACTTAACACACGTTATAGACGCCATTTTTAATGTACATACTACTATTACGTCCGATTTTAATAAGTATACTACGAAGTGAACAAAATGAAAACTAGGGTAAAGCGGCCTAATTCTGGCCACGTCCTTATTCTAGCCAATTTTCAGAAGCACTAAAATATTTAATGGAGGGTGGAATTGGTCTGTTTTAAATAAAAAATATATTAATTTAACCTTGTAATTTTGAAATATATACTTTAAATTCTTATATCGACTTGCTAATGCTTCAGTAACATTTTAAAAACATTTCATAAGTTTTATGTCTCTGTAACTTACAGTGTAAGCTCGATATTTGCAATTTTCAAACTTGTAATGATTACATTCAAATGTAATGCGTTTGTAAATCGCTTGAACTAAAAGTAATATTAGCATATAATGTTGTTAAAACTGTATATGTATTTATGCGTGTTTTGTATATTGTTAAATAATTCTTTTTTATTTGAAAATTTATATGTACAATATTATAGTATAATTTTTAGCGATTGTCCTATATCTAGCCAATGATTAGTCTCAATTCTGGCCGTATGTAATGTACAATAACTTTATATAATTTTTATATAATTTATATATATATATATATATATATATATATATATATATATATATATATATATATATATATATATATATATATATATATATATATATATATATATATATATATATCTACTATAGCATATTTATATGCGCAATTGCTCACTTTTTTTGCTAGCCTAAATTAAGTGAGCGTCTTTAGAAAACGATGAGGGAAAACGAAGAATAATGAATGAAAATGTTGCTGACCCATACCAAACCCTCAGTCGATGTAGCAGCACTCCACTGCGAGTCAGGCTATTTGTCAGTCGATGTATGTACTGAAGCTCCCGACAGCAGGCTATTTGACTGAATCTGTTACTGTAAATAATATTAAATCTGGTTTTCAGGCTTGTGGAATCTATCCATATGATCCAATTATAGTTCCAACCGAAGCTTACATCCCTAATTCTCTATACATGCCATCAGAAAGCCATCAAAAAGGAGAACATATTGAATAACATAGACAAATTACCATCACTATCTAATGATCATTGTTAAATAGAAAAGTTTATGGAATATCCATCAAATCCAACAAATGAGGAAGAAGACTTTTCTATATCAGCGTTAGCAATTAACAAATCTCCGCTTTTAAATTTTGATTAAACATATGCCATTTCTAATACATCAGTAATTAATTTAGTTTCTGTTAATATTAATAATAAAGATAGTGTCGTTTCTAATACACCAGCAACTAATTTAGTTTCTGGCAATATTAATAATCAAGATAATGTCACAAAAAAATAGATATCTATGAAAATTTTCTATTTCAAAATCATTCGTTTCCAGGAGATCCAGATTCTGATGTTTTACCTTACCCAGCACATACCATTAAAAAAAATAAAACAGCATTAAAACAAAAATATTTTTTGCTAACATCGAAAGAAGCCATGGAGTACAAATATGCAGAAGTTAAAAATAAGTTACTCCTTGAAGAAAAGAAAAGAGAAAATATTATTTAAAAAAAGAAAAAGCATGAAGAAAAATTATTCCAAGAACAAAAAAAAACACAAAGTGAAAAAAAAATATTTATAATTGGAAAAGAAATAAAGATAAACATTTTCTTTTTAATCATTATTCGTTTTTATTTTGCTTTATTTTGTTTTAATTATTCCTTTTTATTTTTTTTATTGTCTTTAACTTGAATATTGATCTTTTAATATCCTAGTTATTGCTATGTTCTAGATTAAACTTGTAATAAGTAAACAAGCTTAGTTTCGGACTCTTATTTCTATATTAGCCTTAATCTGGCCGATGGCCAGAATTAGGTAAGAACCGGCCAGAATTATATCCAGGTGGCCAGAAATAGGTCTTTTAGCGTACGTCTAAAATATTGGTGCTTAAGCATGCTTGTCTAGCCTAATGAAAAAAAAAAGTTTGAAATTATATTCATCTTTGAATATCCTATTAATATTAAAATTGTTTTGTTTATATTACGCTATGCGAATTTATATTTAAAACAAATAAGTAAGAAATGGTCAGATTTTGGTAAGTTTGCCCTAAATAATAAAACTAGAAGATCGTCCATAAAGTACGTACGCTTGAAGGGGAAAAGGGGGTCTGCAAATGTCGTATATGAGATGGGAGGGCAGTGGGTCAATTATAAAGTAAAGGAGACATTAAATTTAAAAAAATACCATATGTTAAAAAATGTTAAATAAATAGTTTAAAAGCGTAGCCACTTTTAGGGAGGTGGAGGGTACTCAAATAGCTTATTGCAAAATGCGGGGGAAGGGAGAGGGTGTATGAAAAAAAAGCGTACGTACTTTATGGACGACCCCATATTATATAGTAGTCGGTAAAATGCGAACTGCGAATTGCGATCCGCTAACTAAGAACCGCGATGTAACGTTTTTGATGTAATGTTAATGATGTAATGTTTTTCATTTTTTGTTTGCGGTTTAATTGTTTATTTTGCTATATATTCTATGGACTTCAAGTAGAAACATAAATTGTATCTAATTTAAAAGAAATACAATCTAATTTAAATAAAATATATCAAATTACACTATATAACGCTTTTACTCAGCGTTTTTGGAATAATAGCTCAGCTTTACATGAATAAAAATTCGAGCGAAATCGCTCAAATTTTTGTTCACTTAAAGCTGAGCAATTTACTCCAAAAACGCTAAATAATTGCTTGGCTTTACGTGAATATAAATTTTATCAAAATTTCTCAAATATTTATTCACGTAAAGCTGAACAATTACTGAGTAAAAGCAATTGCTTTTTTTTATTCACCCGTCCTAATTATTAACAAAACTGCAAATAGCAAGAGCTCTAACAATAAAACCATATGTTTTGAAAATAGACCGATGATATGCACAGAAATCAACTATATCGAATATTTTTTTTATCGACAGAGGTCAATAAAAAAATATATTTGGAGATAGATATAACCAAAAACAAAAATACATAAAAAAAAAAAAAAAAAAAAAGAAATTTTAATTTTTTTATTTCTTTAAAGAAATAAAAAAATTAAAATTTCTTTTTAGTTTTTTTTTTAAATGTATTAAAGACGGTTATGTAGTAATAGTTAATGCAAACATATTTTAATTTAAAGATGTTAAAATTAGTTGTTAGCATTAAGTTACAAAGCTTTGTAACTTAATGCTAACAACTAATTTTAACATCTTTAAATTAAAATATGTTTGCATTAACTATTACTATATAACCGTCTTTAATACATTTAAAAAGAAAAAAAAGCTTCAAACTTACTTATCAAACCAAAAACAACTTGTTTTCATTAATAAATATAACCAAAACCATCTTCAAAACGTTTTCTGTGGTATTCCTCAAGGTTTTATCTTGAACCACTTTTGTTCTTAATCTATATAATTGACTTAAATAAAGACTCGAACTTAATGAGTATTATGTTTGCCGACAACACCAACTTATTCCTGACTAATAATCACGTATCCAAACTCGTTTCTACAATTAACGATGAACTTAAAAACATATCTACTTGGTTGAAATGTAACAAGTTAACTCTTAAACATTAATAAAATCAAATGGATTTTTTTCCATTTGTTCTCTAAAAAACGCTATTTACCCCAATATTTGCTCAAAATATTTGTTGATGAATTTAAAATAAAAAGAGATTTTGTTACTAAATTTTTATGAGTGGATCTCGACGAAAACATTATAAGGAAATCGCATATTGACTATATGTGCTCGAAAATATCTTAAGTAACGGAATCTTATATAAATCCAAATCATACTTAAACAAAAAAACCTTAACCCAATTTTATTACTCATTTATTCACAACTATATAATTTATGGTAACATATTTTGGTAAAGCAACGAAAAAAGTAAGTTACAATCTCTTTATTGGCGTCAGAAGCATGCAATCCGCCTGATTAATTTTGCGAATCGTTTTACTCATTTTAAACAATTATCTTTGGAGATAAAAATAATTAATATTTACGAGCTTAATGTTTATAACATTCTATCCAGTGGTTAAAATGGTGGACATGAGTAAAAAATTTAATTTTTTGAAATTAAAATTTAACTTAATTTTTGTATATTTCAATAGCATGCAGATTTAAGCAATAAAAAAAAAGTAAAAATTTTTGTCTATTTAAAAAGTAACGGCCATGCAAACTTGAACAATTTGGAAGAAAAAACACACTTTAAAACCCAACAGAGTTTTTGAGTATCACTCGGAAAAAAGTGATGAAAAAAAAAGATTATTGATCTAAAACTTGGAAAATTATTATTTAACAATAAGGGATAAAGAGCCTACATAAAAAAATATTTTTCTGGCTAATAATAATAGTATTTCAGAAAGAAAATTGAATAACTTTCATAAAATTTATATAAAAACTGTGAATTTTTGCACATGATTTTGTTATAGTTTTTGAACATTTCGGTGAATATCTCAAAAACCGCTAATGGTGTCATACTAAACCTTATATGATTTCCAAAATACAAAATAAAAGTTTTCATTTGCTGCTATGCTTAAGTTGGCCCCATTAGCGGTTTTAAAAAAAATAAGTTTTAAAATTGCCATCTTAAGGTTAAAGTCTAGGAACTTGGTTTTGAGAAATTAACAAATACACATATGTTACAAAATTAATTTATTTACAAACAAGATTGTTTAAAATATCATCAACTGATGCACTTCTGCGCATACATGAGCGTTTAGAATGCCCTCTATCCAAGCAGTTTTTGCAAAATAACAGCTCTTTGCTCCGTTCTTCTGCAACTAATGGGTCAGACCCCAAGCCAAAGTCTTTTAAAGCAATTTTCTATATTGACCAATTGATTAATTTTTCTTGATAGTTTTTCCTCGAAGTATCTGAGACGCTTATTATTAGCTTCCATTCCTTCTTCTTCACTCCAAGATTTTAAACCGGTGGAATCATTTATTTCTATCAACTCCCAGCTATTAGCAAGAACTTTGTGCAGCGTTGGAGTTATACTTACCCAATAAAATTCTTGTAG